AACTAACCCATGGTAAACAACTGCCCTACACTCAGCTATGCTCCAGGCATATAGAATCAATTCTGAGATGGTGGTGACAGTGCCTCCCCGTGTCTTTGACAACTGAAATAAGCACATACTGTGAGTCTCTGTGATCATAGTTTTCCAGCAGCCCCGTTCTACCTCTATAACTTCACATACCAGCAGGTACAATCAAAACTTTGCTCGATTATCCTGTCCTGCTGCTGGGAGGCGTTTCCGGTCCTTGGGACCCCACCTACAGACCTTCCTATCTGTGCTTCACACCTACCCAGAACCCCATTGGTGATATTACAAGTGGTACTAAGGGAGGCCGGGAGAGAAGAGATAAGCTTCGGGCAGCTCTCTGTTGTGCCAACGCCACAGCCCTCCTCTCCTCCCACCTTCAAGAACTACTGTTGAAGTCCCACCCCACCCCCACCCCTCCTCACTGAGGTAGGACCCCAGATTCAGTGGCTGGGGGAAATGTTGGACTCTGTCCTAACATGCCAAATTCAAATTCTCATCTTTTTCGATACACTGGCTAATCCGGGTGCTTTCTAAGTGAGTCGGCACCTGTGTTGTGCCTAGGGTGCAGAAAGCTGTGTCTGTGAGCACCATGCTTTGACAGTCAGTATGTTGAGCATGCCTGTAGAAAAGTCAGGCAAATATCTGCTTTTGTATTTAACCCTATGTTCTATGTGCAATCTCTCTTTAAACTGTTCAATGGCAGTTTTTCCACCATGAACCTCCACCCCTACCCCCAGGAGTAACCTATTTCAAGATGGTTTTGTTTTTGGAAGGAAGTGTGAGCTCTTATAGTTTCTTTGAGTTTAAAAAAAAAAAAAAATCCATTTTTCCCCCATACACATTTATTTTACTGACAGCAAAGTTGGTTTCCATTTGGAAAAGCTGTCCTCTGTTTCCAACATAGGGCCTTTTCCATTGCCAGAAAATCAAAAAACAGCCCGTCTGGTGTATAAAAGTTCTCTCTGGCACGTCATCAGCGTCTGTTGCAAAATGAAATTCTCCTACAGCTCTCCCTTCGCTGTGACTCTTGAGTATGTTTCTGTCTCTTCTAAATATTTTGCAATCATTGTCTTTATGGGTTCCTGGCAGGGCTGAGATACTCCACAAACCCAGGTTGAGGACAACAGAGTCCTGGGGACCACCCAGCAAATGGCTGTAACCTTAATGAAGAGTGAGTGATAAACCCAAGCGAGGTTTGTGATACCCTGAGAGTAACACCAGCTGCAGGCCCTGCCTGCTGCCACAGGCTCCCCAGATTTGCAGTGACCTCCCTTGTCCTTCAAGCACTTAGAAACAAGGTTGCAGAGCCATGTTTCCCAGTCTGGGGAGGGCTGTTAAACCCTTGTCTCTGATAAAGGCCCTACTTTTCTAGGTGACGGTTTTCTTCCCTGGCTTTATTTAAAATCTATCAACAGGTACAGAGTGTGAGGCAAAGAGGCACATGGTTTTCTCAGAGTACCCCATTTAGCCAACCTCACAATGCATTTATGGTTCCAAAGCAGATGTGGCCTTTTGGTTTAGGTTGGTTTATTTAAGGGGATTTTTTTTTCGGGGGTTATATGGGGGGTTTTGGTTATTTGCTTTTTAGCTTCCATTTCAAGCAGCTTACTTGTGACATACTCTTAAGTGGTTCTCAACCTTCCTAATGCTGAGATTGTTTAATACAGTTCCTCTTGTTGTGGTGACCCCCAACCATAAAACTATTTCATTGCTACTTCATAACTGTAATTTTGCAACTATTGTAAATCATAATTTAAATATCTGATATGCAACCCCAAGAGGGTTGAGACCACAGCCACTCTAAGCCTTTCCAGAAGGGAAGCTGAAGGTGCCTGTTGTCTTAGCTACGGGGTGTTGTAGAGATCCTTCAAAAAAACAAAATTCAGCAGGGCAGTGGTGTCTCATCCCTTTAATCTCTGCATTTGGCAGGCAGAAGCAGGCAGATCTGTGAGTTCCAGGCCAGCCTGGTCTACAGGGTGGATTCCAGGATAGCTGAGTCTGCACAGAAAACCCTATTTGAGGGGGCCAGGGTAATCCAATACTTGGGAGACAAAAGAGGCAGAACCCTGTGAGTTGGAGACTTCTAGGCCATCCAGGACTACGTACTTGAGACTCTTAAGGAAGAATTTCAAAATGTGAAATAGGGGTGCTTAGGCTGTGGACGTGTGAAAAGTAGATCTTAGACTTGATTTGAAGGTTCCAAGCATGTAGGTTGGAGAGAATGTTCTCTTCTCATCTATGGCTCCAGGGCAGGCAGGCAAGGACTAAAGAAGTAGATGTTTAGAGTAGAGGGTGGACCAAGAGAGCACTTGTTTTTCCATATGAATCTTTCTCCAAATTAAACCTGTGTGCTGAGGAGAAGTGGGGTGTGCGTGGGAGTGTGTGCTGAACAAGAAGGCCACATGTGGTATCTTCTTCTCTCAGCAGGGAATATTTATTAGACAAACTCAGATTTGTCATTGCTTTGTACCTATTTGTGAATGAACACAAAAGCATCATAGGTATTAATTTGGGATTTAATTTAGTACATAAATTTAAAGGTGCAGAACTCCTAAGCAATACAGATCATTGTTTGGTATTATCACTTATTTATATGTTATATCTCAAACACAATATTTAAGGTGCATATAAATTACTTTGTGAGACCTTTTTTACCTGATTAACAAGCCCTTCTACGAAGTATAAGCCTGCCAGCCTCAAACTAGGCATTTGCTGAGAATAATTCTACTACCAGGAGTGACTGATTGCCCACTCTTGCATACTTTCTCTACTGTAATTACAATAAAATGAGCCTAGATATATGCTGTAGGATCTTAGTATCTTGGACATTTCAAATTCTACAAGTACTATGGAAAATGTAGGAAATTACCATAAGAAGAATGAGTTAATGAGTCCCTGAATATAGCAAGTGGCGATGCCTACCGGAAGCACCAGTGACAGGTCTCCTGCTATGGTACCCTTTTCAGGGTTTTTGTTTGTTTGTTTTTGTTTTTCACCTTTCAGTGAAGCACAGTGTAGCTTCTGTCTTCGACATTGCCCTTGAATTAGCTCTGGTTCATAGAGACCAACAGTGTCATAGGCTTGAGTCAGCAGCTTGATGCTGTGGATAGAGCATTCTGAGCAATGGACTTAGCACTTCTTTCTATTCCCTGTGTCCTCCCCACCCCTTCCAGAAGCTCTCATAGTTTCCCAAGTATAAGCAGGAAAGCATGACTAGCATTACATGTGCCCTGCTCCACACTCAGCAGCTGCTAGAGGTCATCACTGTGAGACTCAAAGTGAGAAAACCTCACCTCACTCTTACTAGTTATTTGAGGTAAAGTAGTTCCCCTTTTATGCACATGTTAAAAAGCATTTAAAGCACATGCAAAAACTTAACAGCAATTTCATAATAACAAGCATGTGGTCAGAGGTTGGTTTGCCTAATTCTGATATTTCTCTCATCCTTTTACCAGAATAGCAGTGAGGAGGTGGGCTGGTAACCATGTTCAATTGACTTGAACCTAGGAGGCCTACAAGCTAGAGGCCCATTTCCAGACAGGTTTTCCTCAGCCTCTGAGGTCAGCATCACATGCCTGCTCTCAGAACGGGAGCCTGTTTCAGCCAAAAGTACCAGTGTCTATGCTGCTGCCCTACTAAGTGCCCCCTAATGTGTATTCTGTCAAGGGATGGATCCTGAACAAGTCCCCTCTGGACATGCCCCATTCTCAAGGTGGAGCCACACCAGGGGAACCCGTGGTTGAAGCATTTGCATGTGTGCTATTGCTTGTCTGTGTCCAACACTTCCATGACCACAGCTGTTGGAAGCTCAGTAGAGCCCCTGCAAAAAGAGCATTGTGTTTCCAGGGGATGATGGGAACATGTTATTCTAAATCTTGCTTAGGGAATGTTCCCAGATTTCCCAGGGAGAGGCAAGAGGTGCCTGTCTGACAGGGCTGCACAGAGTCTTTCTCCTTCAACATTTCAGCAGCATGAGCTCAGGAGCAACATGGGTGATTTCCTTGTCTTTCTCTCTGGAAAAGAATGAATAACAAAGGAAGTTTCCATTGACGTATGTAGTATAAATGGGAGCAATACTTACAGTGGTAACAAGACACAAGACCTCCCCCCCCCCAGGGTTTATGGGAGTAGTGAGATGTGGTTATACAAGTAAATGGAACCCTCTGCCACCATGCAGCTGTGCACATCTGTCCTGCCCCCCCCCCACCAATGAGCTCTATGTGAATGAGGAATTTTGATGAGTTTCCATTTACCTAGCCACATGGTCAAGTGGCTGTAATTTGTACAGACTGGGGGATGCTTATAACACCATTATTGTAGCACCTGAAATTTCACTCAGTGAAGATCTAGAGCTCATGGGACCCACAATCCTGTTGGCCTACGGCCCTCTTCCCAGGCAAGGCTTTTGTACTTATTATGAGCTCAGCCTGTGGTTATTTTTCAGATAATAGTGGCAGTACTACCAATATAGTTTATCTCTGTTAAATACCAGGAGTGCTGTGTGATTTCACCAGTGCCATGTAGACATGTGGTGTTTGTTTTGAAAAGAGGTTTTGCCTTTGTGTCTTTTGTGTTTTGCCATGTACCATCATGCCCAGAAGCATAGACTTTTTTGTTTTGTTGACTTCAGTATCCCAACTGTCTTCTCTTTGTGCACAGACTTTGGATAATGGTATACATACAAATATTTGGTAGCCAGAGTTATTAGAATATGTGTTTTTTGTTTTGTTGTTTTGAGACAAGATTTCTCTATGCAGCTTTGGAGCCTATCCTGGAACTCACTCTGTAGGCCAGGCTGGCCTCAAACTCACAGAGATCCACCTGCTCTGCCTCCCTAGTGCTGGGATTAAAGGCATGGGCCAGCACCACTAGCTGGGGTTGGGGAGAGAACGCTAACCACCAGCAGTTGTGCTAACAGACCATGGAGGCCCTGACTAAAATGCCTCCTCATGGTTGTCACTCCTTCCTCCTAGATGTGATATTTGCTGCGTAACCTTCCGCACACATCGGGGACTACTGCGCCACAATGCACTTGTCCACAAGCAGCTTCCCAGAGATGCCATGGGAAGGCCTTTCATCCAGAACAACCCTTCGATTCCTGCTGGCTTCCATGATTTAGGGTTTACTGATTTCTCCTGTAGGAAGTTTCCTCGGATTTCTCAGGTATGCTGATGGACCCATTCAACCTGCAGCTACCTCTACAGTCTACAGCTGTGTGGGGTAGGGTAGTAGTATTTTCTGTAATGTCCTTTCTCTCACTAAAGTCCAGGCTGGCCCAATCTGTCCTCCTTGGTATTCTTGGACTTACAACAGGACTCTGAGAGTGGTGGTGAATTTACAACTTTTACAACTTTAAACCTCAAAGCCTGAAGAATGGGCAGAAGGCACCAGTGAGCTAGATCCACACAACAACTCAAAGAAAATACAACCTAAGATAAAAGATCCCTCTCATCCCAAGAAGGACAGACTAGGCCAGCCTGGATTTTAATGGGGGGCGGAGGGGGCGGGGATGACACAGACACACACACACCATTGCAATTGGACATTGCTATCTACAGAGTTCACACTTGTGAACTATTGCAATTGAGTGACAGAAGAAAAATATCTCTTAATGTTTGAAGTTTCCAGTTCTGTGTTGGACTGCTTCCATAGCTGTCCATGGCCACATGTGGCCCACAGGCTGTAGGCCAGGCTCATGCTCACTGTTCATCATTTTCCTACTTCAGTCTCAGAGTCACACTCAGAAAGGTTGCCTCTCTGTATTAACAGAAAAGGCTGCTGTTATACAACAGATACTTCTCACATCTCCCTTTAGGACCAGTTTTTAAATCCTCACCTTTCCTCCCTTGCTTTTGCTGGTGGATTTCACCTAGGCCTGGTGTGAAACAAACCTACGGAGGTGCATCAGCGAGCAACACCGGTTCGTGTGTGACACCTGCGACAAGGCATTCCCTATGCTGTCCTCACTCATCCTGCACAGGCAGACCCACATCCCTGCTGATCAGGGCCGGGAGAAGCTCCAGACCAAGACCCTGGCTGGTGATACCCTGGACCAGAAGGTCTTCATGACCTTTCTGGGCCTGCAGCACACCAAAGATGTCAGGCCTACACCTCCAGAGGAGTCCCTGCCGGATGACAACCAAGCAATACAGCTTCAAACACTCAAGTGCCAGCTACCTCAGGACCCTGGATGCACCAATGTGCTGAGTCTGTCTCCTTTTGAAGCTGCTTCTTTAGGTGGTTCTCTGACAGTTCTCCCAGCTACCAAGGAGAGCTTGAAGCATCTCTCCCTGCAGCCCTTCCAGAAGGGTTTCATCATCCAGCCAGACAGTAGTATTGTGGTTAAGCCTATTTCAGGAGAGTCAGCCATTGAGCTAGCAGATATCCAACAGATTCTAAAGATGGCAGCTTCAGCTCCACCACAAATCAGTCTTCCGCCACTTTCCAAGGCTCCTGCCACCCCCCTTCAGGCAATTTTCAAACACATGCCTCCTTTGAAGCCAAAGCCCTTGGTCACACCCCGGACAGTAGTAGCCACATCTACACCCCCACCTCTCATCAATGCACAGCAGGCATCCCCAGGCTGTATCAGCCCGAGCCTTCCACCACAATCGCTGAAGTTCCTCAAGGGGTCAGTTGAGGTTGCCTCCGGCGTTCACCTGCTGCAGTCCAAGTCTGGGGTCCAGTCCAACGCCACCACACAGCTCTTCCTGCAGCAACCTGGGGTAGAGTTGCCAGGCCAGCCCGAGATGAAGACACAGCTAGAACAGGACAGCATCATCGAGGCCCTGCTGCCCCTAAACATGGAGGCAAAGATCAAACAGGAGATAACAGAGGGCGACCTCAAAGCCATCATGACAGGCCCCAGTGGCAAAAAGACCCCCGCCATGCGCAAGGTTCTCTACCCCTGCCGCTTTTGTAACCAGGTGTTTGCTTTCTCTGGAGTTCTGCGCGCCCATGTTCGCTCCCACCTGGGCATCTCGCCCTATCAATGCAACATCTGCGACTATATCGCTGCAGACAAGGCCGCTCTTATCCGCCACCTTCGCACACACAGCGGGGAACGGCCCTATATCTGCAAGATCTGCCACTACCCATTCACAGTCAAGGCCAATTGCGAGCGGCACCTGCGCAAGAAGCACCTCAAGGCCACCCGAAAGGACATCGAAAAGAACATAGAGTACGTGAGCAGCAGTGCAGCGGAGCTGGTGGATGCCTTCTGCTCCCCAGAGACCGTGTGTCGGCTGTGCGGTGAGGATCTGAAGCACTACCGTGCCCTGCGCATGCACATGCGCACACACTGCAGCCGAGGCCTGGGTGGCTGCCACAAAGGCCGCAAACCCTTCGAGTGCAAGGAATGCAATGCCACCTTTGCAGCCAAGCGCAACTGTGTCCATCACATCCTCAAGCAGCACCTGCACGTGCCCGAGCGTGACATCGAGAGCTACGTGCTTGCCACAGACAGTGGCCTTGGCCCCACTGACGCGCCCACAGAGGCCTCTGCCAGAGGAGAAGGGGGCAGCTGCATTGCTTTTGGTGAGTGCAAGCCCCTCGCCACTTTCCTGGAGCCCCAAAATGGCTTTCTTCACACAAGCCCCACCCAGCCCTTGCCTTCCCACATCTCAGTAAAGTTGGAGCCAGCCAGCAGCTTTGCAATGGACTTCAACGAACCCCTTGACTTTTCACAGAAGGGCCTGGCGCTGGTCCAAGTGAAACAGGAAAATGTGTCCTCCTTGCCGAACTCTTCCTCCTATGACTGCTCCATGGAACCCATTGACCTATCCATCCCCAAGAGCATAAAGAAAGGAGACAAGGACACAGTTGTGCCTAGTGACACCAAGAAACCAGAACCAGAATCTGGGAAAACTGAGCAGCTCTCTCCCTGCCCGTTGCCCTGCCCTACCTTGTCAGTGACTGTGGAGCCCAGAGGGAGCCTGGAAAACCCCACGGGCACTGTAGTGGCCATCACCACCACTGCCAACCTGGAACCCCACACTCAGCCTCTCCAGGGCTCCGTGCAGCTGGCTGTCCCCATCTATTCCTCGGCTCTCATCGGCAGCCCTCCCCTTTTGGGCAACCCTGCCCTCTTGAACAACCCAGCCTTGCTTCGGCCCTTACGGCCGAAGCCTCCCCTCCTCTTGCCAAAGCCCCCGGTGACAGAGGAGCTTCCCCCACTGGCTTCCATTGCACAGATCATCTCATCTGTGTCCTCTGCCCCTACTCTGCTGAAAACGAAGGCTGCTGACCCTGGCCTGTCCATCACCAGCAGTACCACTGTGGCCACAGACAGCTTAGGAAGCTCCATCCCCAAAGCTATCACCACCCCCACTGACATCACAAGCCCTAAAGAATCCAGTGACCCACCCCCTACAGCCAGCAGCCCAGAGGAAGCCTTGCCTACTGAGCAAGGGTCATCCAGCTCATCGAGGAAGAGGGGTAGGAAAAGGGGAATGAGAAACCGGCCCATCACCAACAGCAGTGGTGTGGACCTGGACTCCAGTGGGGAGTTTGCTAGCATCGAGAAGATGCTGGCCACCACAGATACCAACAAATTCAGTCCATTTCTGCAGACTGCAGAAGATGATGTTCAGGATGAGGTGTCTGCAGCCCCTGCAGACCACCATGGGCCCAGTGATGAGGAGCAGGGTAGCCCTGCAGAAGACAGGCTGCTGAGAGCAAAGCGGAACTCCTACGCCAACTGCCTGCAGAAGATCAACTGCCCCCACTGTCCCCGGGTCTTCCCTTGGGCCAGCTCCCTCCAGAGGCACATGCTCACACACACTGGTAAGGCCCTCAAGGCTCACCAAGCGGTGAGCCTTGAAAGAAGAGAGTGAGGGGTAGGGGTAGGCCTAAAGTCTGGGGCTCTTTTCTCATGCTCCAGTCTTCTGTGTCTCAGAAGCCACAGGCTGTTACTTTCCATATAATCTGTGGTCTGAGGCACCGAGGGCTTCTGGGAAACAAATGGCTCAGACACAGGTGACGGTGGTCTTAGGCTCTCTTCCCTCCTCACATCCCTTGCCTGACAAGTGTCAATCTATTCTACTAAGTATAGAGACAGTTCCAGAGAAGTGGAACTGGAGAGGTAATGAGCTCAGTGCTTTGACACGAGAAATCTCACGCTGGGATCTTCAGTGCCGCTTTTCTCATTTTGAACATTCTATGGCGTTCTTTGCCTACCATACATGTAAAAGGAAATTCTGCCGAGTGTTTTCTCTTCTCTGAAGCTGCACCTTCCCCTATTTTTTTTTTTTTTTTTTATTTTTCTCCTGTTTTGAATATTTGTCATAGATGATTGGTACTGGAAATAATTTTAAGTTTATTTATTGTAAGACATCAACTGCTGAGGTAAACACACACTATAATTCAGATTTCTAAATAACAGAGTTAAATTACCAAAATGGTATTCCAGAAATATTTTTCAGATGTCAGTTTCTAGAAGTTGAATTTTAGAAGTCTTAAATATTGAATATTAGTTAAATTATTTTATGCTAGGTACCTTGACTATTTCAGTAACCATATACCTTTCATCATAATTATAATTTTTTTAGTATAATTTTTTTAGGGTTTTTATCATTGGACTATGTACATTGAGTTGAGGTCCTTACCCTTTTGGAGTTGACATTTCAAATACTAATAGATAAGACTGAAAAACTTATTCTTACTATATGTATAGTACAGAATTGCTAGGTCACCAGCAAAATTTGAATTTTAGGCCAGCAAGTAATTTTGGTAGTGTTAGGGACATATGAAAGCATTACTTGTTGATTTGAATGACCATTCAGATTTAACGGGACATCTTGTCATTTCGCTTACAAACTATAGAAACTCAAGGTAGTTAGGAAGTTTATAACAGTATTGTAAAGGACGGAGGTAATGGAGAGTGGGTGTGAGCTGCGTTCTGTGTAGAAACACTGTAAGTAGGACTGATAGTGCAGCTGTGCCTTTTGAGGTGGTCTGGACCTTGTGATTTCCCACAGCTCCTCCCACTTTCTCCTCTAAATGAATGAGAGCTCTAGGTTCAGTGGGCGTGGCACATTTTCTATTGATGGCCCATCTCCCAGCAAACTGATAGTCTTCCTGGAAACTGAAGCATCCATACATTTCTTTCTGATTTGTGCTGGTGTCTGTAGATACCAGAGGCACATTCCCACTTGAGAGGCCATTCCTTATGATTGCCTGGGTTTTGATTGCCAGAGTGCCATCATTTTTGGTTTAGGAGCATCTGAACCTGTTCAATCCCCAGCCAGGACCCACATGGTAGATGAAAAGAACCAACTCAGAAAAGTTGTTCTTTGACCTCTGCATATGTGCGCGCACACACACACACACAGAGAGAGAGAGAGAGAGAGAGAGAATAAATTTTTTTAAATAATAAATTCCAGCCAACAGCATTGAGCAAAACCCAATTTCAGCTGTAGTTAAGCTGACAGCCTACATCATGAGAGAAAGAGAGATGCCTCCTTCCATCCTATCTTCTACTCTGTGGGATTATCCTAGCATCTATACTTTATCTCACCGCATTTCTCCAATTTACCCACGCCCTACAATGGAGCAATGAGGCCAAATGCTAAATGTTCAAATAGGGGGCCAGCCAGCACAAACATGACTTTAGCTCTTTACCCTGTTTAGGTTCCAGGAACTGCATCTGAGGAAGAAGCTGTCATCTTTCATGTCCTCTTGTGTAGTTTCTCCATGCTCAGTTTCCTCCCTCCTCCATCCAACTCTCTACAAGCCTGTGGCTCACCATTCCTTCTCTGAATGCATTGTACCTCATGAGACAACAATGCACTGTTCCTGCCAGTTCCCCTCTTGAGCATCTCGTCCTGTGACTTTAGACCACAGCAGGACAGAGTGCCAGCAAACAACCAGTCCCTTTTAGCTTCTGCCCTCTCTCTTCCTCCTTCCCTTTGCTCTGGTTCCTTGTCCCACAGTGACGGGTCAGGATGGTGCAATCTCTGAGAATCCCCTCCAGCTGTAACATCTGGGATTCCCTAACTCACTTTCTCATGGGTGCTTTGAGCTCCTTTGCCAGGTCTGGGCTCCTCCCCCTCACCTCCTACCCATTGCTGATGGGTAACAATCACTGGAGTTTGAGTTAGGGAGATGTTCTCACCATGTAGAAAGCAACTGGCACCAGTTGTACTTGGATGCCTTTTACTGAGGTCTATTTTAATGTATGTTAGTGTGTGTGTGTTTGTATGTATAACTGCACATATGTGTGCAGGTAGGTACCTGTGGAGGCTAGAAGAGGCTATTGGATCCCCTGGAGTTGAAGTTACAGGTGCTTGTGAGCCATTAGATATAGGCGCTGAGAACTGATTCAGGTCTTCAAGAACACTAAACTCACTCCAGCCCAGTTTTTACCACTTTTACTTAATTGGTAGCTTTGACTGCAAAGGAAGAAGAAAAGAGAAGAAAGATGTCTTGGCCCTCAGGGAAGAGCATGTGGAAAGTTCTGGAAGGCTTGAGCTTCTACAGTCTTGTCATCCGAAGAACTCCATCTGAGTTCTAACCTTGATTCTCTTCAGGGAACATTTTTATCCCATCCGCTGTCCATTTAGGTCTTGACAAACAAGGTCCCGTTGTCCTCAGCAAACTCTTGTTCCTTCTGCTGCCTGGCTTTGTTCCCAGTGCCCTTCAGATAATGCCTCTTCCTTTTCTGACTGCTCTGCATGAATGAATATTGGCTGACTGGCTTTAATGTTCACATTGGGGTGGGGGACATACAAGCCCTGGGTACAAAAGTAATTCCTTATGTTTACAGCTGTTCTCTCTCTCTCTCTCTCTCTCACACACACACACACACACACACACACACACACACACACACACACACACACACACACACGTAATATAGGAGGACAGTTACCAATGGTTATTTTAGTCATGCGATATGGGTCAAGTCCTCCGGTGATTTTTCAGATCTACTATAAAATACTGAAGAGCCTCACCATTTTTGCTTCTCTGCAAGGCATGCTGTTTTGTTTTTTGCGGCAAACATGTGAGCTTTAAATGATTATATTACTTGTCAGTTTGAGGCCCTTCCTGTGGTCTAAAGCTTGGGTGCCACTGAACTGTCATGCATTAACAGGACTCTTCATCGGGGAATAAAGCCTGGCTGTCCAAACCACCTGTAAAGGAAAAACACATGAAAACTAAAAAGTAAATCACAAAAGAGATTAGCACCTACCATTTCCTTTGAAATCAAGAATGTCAGCATAGTGGAGCTGGAGAGAGGGCTGGGTGGTTAGGAGCAGAGTTCAGATCCCGAGCATGTAATACGCGGGGCATCTTACAAACTCTTGTAACCCCATCTCCAAGAGATGACATGCTCTGTTTGGTTCTCCCACACGTGCAGTGTACATGCACAGGCACATATAAAAACATGAACAAGTTCTAGTACGATAGCTTCTGACTTTTCCTTTTTAAGGTCCCCTCCCACCTTTGGTGCTGGTACTTGAACCAGTGCTTCATTGTGCTGCATGGCTCATGCCCGGCCACTAACCCTGCCCCCTCGTTTCTCATTCTCCTCAGTTCTCTTCCTCCCCATCTGGCCAAACCTGAGGAAGCTGCCATTTTGCTTTTTGACAGTAGCAAAGGAAATTTTAAAATACATCTTAAAATGTATTTTAAATGTTTTTATTTTTTTATTTATGTTTTTATATTGTTTATTCATAATTATATTTTAACATACTGTGTTCAATCATTAATGAAAAGCAAAACAGTCACCTGAAAAATACATAGCAAAAATGTCTCTACAATTAGCAGTTAGTCACGTCATGGTTCTTTTTTTTTTTTTTTTTTTTTTTTTTTTTAAATGAAGGTGCTTTCTGTGCTTTTAGCAGAAAAACTCTTGTAGACCCTTGTCAGGGGACTCACCAAGCAGCTGGTGGGTTCTCAACTATTGTGCATAGGTCCCTTGTTGGTACATTCTAAGTACATGCGACAGGATTTTGATGTGGCCTTCCCAGGGTCTCTAAGAATGGTTGGATTGATGCAAACATTTATGTCCGTGTTGTCACCCCAACGCCATACACCTTTTGTGTGCCTTTCCACTGTGCAGAGTAGACATTGCTGGGTGGGTGGGTAGGGGTCTTTGTTTGGCTGCTTTTGTGGGTGAATGCTGCTGCTGCTTTCTTCAATGCTGCAGTTCAAGCCCAGAGCCTCATAAGCCACAAGCCCTTGAGCTCTATCCCTGACCCATGTGCACTATCCTAAGGAGGTCTGCAAGCTGTGTGCTCTCAGAAGGGAGTAGGTGCCCCTTGCCCGGGTGCATTGCACAGGCACTCTGGGCCTTCCTTCCCCTGGAAGGTAGAAGCCCTTGTGGTTCTTCCCAAGCTCCGGAGGCCTCTGCAGTGCCCATCTTGCACACTGCACTAGTCTAAGCTTTGCAAACATTAAAGCATTAATCTAAAGGGAAGGTTCCTGGTTTGTGTTTCCAGGGGGCTGTGTCACGTGACTTTCCTGTCAGTTATTAAAGGTTGTCTACAGGTTCAAGGTTTCGGGATAGCAGCACTAGGCAGAAACACGTGTTAGTTGATGACACCATGGCCCAGTGGAGTCAGAGACTGGGACCTGGAATCTGGCAACTGGAACAGGGCCAAAGCGGTGGGGACAAAGCAGTGACAGTGAACAATTCAACATTGCCTTCTGTCTCCCGAAGCTCAGTGCTTCCCATTCTTGTTTTCCCACCTCTCCTTTCTCCGCCTTCTCCGCCCTCCCTCCTCTGCTGTCCTTCTCTTGTCACTTCCCCCTCTCCCCTCTTCCTTCCTCTTTCCTTCCCTGCCCTTCTTGTTCCCTCTCTGTTCCTTTTTCTCCCTCTTCCTTCTTTACCATGGCATCTTTTCCCATTCTCCTGCCCTACTTGACCATGCATACTCTCCTCCTGAGCCCTTGCCCTTTCCCCTCCACATCAGTCCACACAACCCCAGGACAAACCACAGGCGAGCTTCCAACACATTTTGAAACAGAATGTTTACAGTGCAAAGGGAACCAAATGAATAAGGGGATAAGCAGGCAAAAGCAGAAACTTCCTCTGGGAGGAAGGACCTCTCCTCCCAGCACGTCACCCTGTTCATTCCTAGCGTTGGCATGGAGTCTGGGCTGAGCTCTGGCCTAGCATCCCCTATGCTTCTGTAGAACAGAGCATGTAAGCTGATGTAGACTTGGCCATGTGCAGGTCTCTACTATCCATACAAAGCAAGAGTAAGAAAACCCAGGAAGCATGGGATGAGCCCTCCTGTCACTTGCCAGTAGGGCCTGGGTGGAGGTCATGGCAGAATTTCCTCTGACGGCTTTGTCAAGAAGAGGGAGAGCTGCCACACTGGATGGAAGACTCACTCTGACTTCTCAGTATGACCCTCAAAGTTGCCAGGGGTTCATGATCTCCCATGGGGAGGCTTGCGCCTCCCTCCCTGTCCCAGCTCACCCTCACCTTCAGTACTGCCTGCCAGGCTGAAAGGGAATGAATGGTTTTACTCTGGTTATGTAGGTGTCACTTACTGTGCTTTAAAAACCTTGTGGTGGTGTCAACACCTCTCACTGCCTTACTTGAAACACGTGTATCTTGCTTTCATTATAAACTTTCTTTTAGCCACTTGAAGACAGTGTCTGCTACATGAAGGCTAGGGGGAAATGATTATTTTAGTTGTTGTTTCTCTGAGTTTTTTTTTTGTTTGTTTGTTTGTTTGCAAGTGTGTTTCTCTTTCTTAAAATGAAAGGGTGGAGGGGTGAACAAATGCCAGCGATCCAAGGAGAGCTGATCAAAAGCAACTTTTCCATTGCAGTAGAAAGCCAGATAAACACATATTTTTTTTTCCTGCTTCAGGTCAGAAACCCTTCCCTTGTCAAAAATGCGATGCCTTCTTTTCTACCAAATCTAACTGTGAACGCCACCAGTTGCGCAAACATGGAGTTACCACCTGCTCCCTGAGAAGAAACGGGCTTATTCCCCCAAAAGAGGGTGATGTTGGATCCCATGATAGCACAGGTAGAGCCTCCAGGTGATGGAGAACCAGAGAGAGGAGGGCGCTCCCCAGAGCTCGGTTAAAGCTGTGTGAGCTGGGGCCACTCACAGTGTAGCCTCTACACAGGGTTCTGTGGAGGACTGGAAGTTCACCTAACCCTAAACTGACTGACACGAGGCCTGCGGAGTTGGGGGAAGAATGTTAGTGCCTTCCTTCCAGATATTGCCATTGTTCTGATCCTGGAAGGTGGGATGTGCGGATGTTTTATATGTTCGGCTTCTGGTGTAAATCCCTGAAGGAAATGCAAAGCTCTGAAGTTTGGGGGACCCAGCTTCTGCAGCCTTCTTGAGCAGCACTTGCCCAGTGGCCTCAATGCTGCAGGAGCTGTGACCCCCATGCTTTTAGTTGGGGGGTTGGGGTGGGGCAAAGCAGGGTGTTTCTTTTTAATAACTCTTTCCCAGTACAAACCTGTCCCTGTTTGAAAAAGCACTCTGCATGTCCTTTCTTTAATCACAACTCTGCTTGACCTGGATCCGGGTATTCTCCTGTGCTGATGTGTGCTTCCTCCCCCCAACCCTACAGAGTAATTAACACTGCCCCGTTCCTTTTATGCCACCTTCACCCCTTCGGCTTCTGTATTTACTTATGCCCTTTATTTAATACACTCTATAATCCAACTGCTGAAGTATGCTATCTCCTACCCATACCCCCAAAACACCCCATACCAGAACCAAGCTGCTGCAGGCTGCCTAGTGAAGCCGGTAGGAGTGAGGGTACTGCCGCTGCAGGCCCAGCTCTGTGGGCGGCGAAAGCTGGCATTTGCCCATTGCTTGAATCAGAGCCACCGATATGTTTATCTAGGGTTTCAGTTGTGTCTTGGGACTTCTCTTCCTCAGACTCCAGTGGGATAGAGTGCTGTGTAAGTGGAAGACACCCCAACCCTCGACTCCCTTGTCCTTACCTCAGTGATGAAACATCACAGTGGATTGCATTCAGGGAGAGCTGACCGCAGTGGGGAAGCCACCTCTACCCTTCCCACACCTTCCCTCAGCCTTGTGCAAGCAATGGAATGCCTTTGGCTCGCTGGATCCCTCTGCCTGGGTCAAACCCTTTAAGGACCAGAATGGTCCAGCTGGTTTGCTGGCTCTTCTCCCCCACCCCTGACTTCCATTTTCACATAGTTCTCCAAGATCTTTGGGTAAAGAAAGGTATCCCGCCATGGTTGAGTCTCTGTGAGCCAAGCCTGATCTGCTTCTCAAGCTCCAGGAAGCCTGAGGCACTGCAGCAGCTGTCTTTGCTGCAGACTGTCCTGTTAATGATTAGCCATCATTGCCAGGGCACCTATTAGACTGGAACGCTTTCTTACAGCCTACTTTACAGAACGCTCCCGTGGCTCTTCCAAAACCAGTTCAGGAGGGAAGGCAGTTGACATGGGGGTTTCTTTGGGGTAGGAACCCATGCCCTCGGAAAAGTCTGTTGCATCCTGCTCATGCTGGAGGATGTTCACATGATCTCTGCTGCTTACACAGAGCTCAGTTAAAATCCATAGTCTGAGCTTAGCATTGGCACCAAGTGTTAGCCTGTGGGTGTATTTACTTTTTAAGTTTACAATTATAGGTTTTCTTTTTCCAAGGCCCAGCTCCAAAAGTTATATAGATTTTCTTAAAGGGACAAAGCCTCTGGGAAAGGAAGTCACTGAAAGTTCTATCCAAGGGATAAGTGTCTGGTTTAATTCTAGACAGCTCATGATGAGAGGGAGAACAAATTTAGGAGGGAGAGAAAGAACAGCAGACATTGGAGTTGAGGGATTTGAGACATTTATAAACCGAGTGGCTTTGATAGCTATCTTCAAATTCAAGGATGACCTTAAACTTCGGGTCCTCCTGCTCCTGTGTCTGGAGTGCTCCCCGGAGTATCTCACTATGCCCGGTTTGTGTAGTGTTTAGAGGCAATGCCAGGTTTTGTAGATCCATCATCATGGGTAGGCAAGCATACTATCACCTGATAGACTTTGTATTAAAGAGACAGGAGATGACAAGGAAGGAAGTTCCTGGTTTTTGAAATTTGGTTTATGTGCGTAGGTTAAATTCTTTTAAATCCCTAAGCACGTTTTTTTTTATGTTGTCATGTGACTTCCAACCATATGAGGTCTTCCATGAAAATGCACCCCAGATTTCCCCCACACCCAATGCTAAAAATACTATGATGGGAGACAATTTTCCCTTAAAGGGCTGTATTAAATACTCAGTTTTAAACTGAAACTCTTCCTTCTGCTAGGCAGATGTGGCCTACTCTGCTTCTTGGTTCTTAGTGATGTATCACATTGGTAGAGCTGGACAGGACCTGTTACAATATAAACTTGAATGTTTTAAAACTATTCCTTAATGGAAAGGCTCTATTACCAACACAAAAGTCCTGTCATTCACGTGCACTGGTACCCAAAAGTGCTCCCCATCCTTGAACATATCAGGCAAAGTGCAGGCAAAACCTTCCATCAGGTTGTGTATGTCAGTTGCATCTGTCACATTAGCTAAGTGACATTTAATTTCTAGGAAGCAAGAGATCTGCTGTCCTTTAGGAGGAGCTGGACACTCACTGACTACTAGGGTTCCTTCTGCTTTCTCCAGCAATTTTCTTAAGTGTTAAGGGCACTAAGTGGGGAACTCATGGGGACTGTGAAGCAGCACATCCTTTTAAGATTGCATCGAAGTGATGAGCTCAGCTGCCTCCATTTGGAAGTGGGGCTTTGAGGATGAGTCCTTTCAAGTAGTCTACTTGCTCACTCACCATATGTGAGGAGGTTAACTCTATTATTCCTGAGAATCATAAAAAAAAAAAAAAAAAGTCACAGGCTACCCTGCTAAAACACTCCCCCTAGTGGAACTTTGGAGTGCAACGAAGCCACTTTTGTTCAAAATAGCGAGTTTTATTGCACATAGGGAGAAGGTATCCACCCTCAAAACTGAATCACAAATGGGATAATTCAGTCTTAGTGCTTGTACTTGCGTTTGGTTTCAGAATTTATTTTTGTTTTTGTAAGTGGGTTGGGGGTGTTTGTTTTTGTTTTTTAAGACAGGTTTCCTCTGTGTATCTCTGACTGTCCTGGAACTCTCTCTGTAGACCAGGCTGTACTCAAACTCAGAGGTCTGCCTGCCCTTTCCCACATGCTGAGATGTGTGGCACCACTGCCCAGTTTATTTTTAGAAGTTTATCATTTTAAATATATTCTCCCTAACGCAAACAGCCTACGTGATGGGGTAGGAGAATTAACCAGAAAATAACCATATTTTTTAACTGGACTAGGGATATGGCTCATTCCCTAGGACTCATTTAAAAAAAAAAAAAAAGAAAGAAAATCAGGTAATGTTGGCTTATGCCTAAAATCCCTGGACTGTGGTAGCAAGAGACACGATGAGAGAGCTTGCTGGGCAGCCAGTCTGGCCATTCAACAAACTTCAGGTTAGTGAAAGGCACTGTTTCAAAAAAAAAAAAAAGATAGAAAGTAATGGAGGAAAACGGAAGACATTGATGGACCTCTGGTTCCCAAACTTGTGCAGGAAAACACATACATGCACACACAGAATTACTCACAAAGCAAGAAAGCAAAGCATTATGTGCTTCTCTTGTACAGTTTAAACCAAATCCATACTATAGATGCTCTCTGTTATCCCAGAAAATGAGCATAGATGTTTCCCTTCGAGTATAGCCTAAGCATCAGTCTATGTCTCTCAGGGTTGCTGTTTCTTGTCACAAACTATCTTCATACTGTGATTTCTTGTCTACTTCTGAAGTCTCTTGAGATAACTCAACAGTAACTTCTACCAAGCCCAGTAAGAATGAAACCAAAGAATTGATGCAGGTGGACATGTCCTCACTTATTTGCAGAAGAACCCAAAGCCCCAGGCAGGTATGACGTTTAAGTCTGAGGCTGCACCTCTCCCCAGCCCCAAGACCCGCCTTGATGGCACATGATGGAGCATATGACACTGAGAAGGAATGATAGGCATGTGGTGGCCTTCTGGCTTATTCCCCACAGCAAGTAAAAGTCTCAGGTTAGGTGCAAGAATCTCTGCAGCCTCAAGCACTGATCAGAGATAATGCCTGTCAGAGGGTGCACCTCTCTTATGTGCTATAAGACAGTGAATTTCCTCTTTGGGCTCAGAGAACCCATAGTAGTGAATGGAACATTAAGTCTGCAGTAAAAGAGCAGTTCTCAGCCAGGTTCCATTTTGCTGTTAGAACCATCAAGTCCTTGTTCAACCCTAGTAGAGAACAGGTAATGTTCCTGATACTGTTACTTTTTTGTTTGTTTTTTGAGGCAGGGTTTCGCTGTGTAGCTTTGGAGCCTGTCCTGGAACTAGCTCTTGTAGACCAAGCTGGTCTCAAACTCAGAGATCTGCCTGCCTCTGCCACCCAAGTGCTGGGATTAAAGGTGTGCACCACCACCGCCCACCTCCTGATACTGTTAAATGTGGTTAATTTTTCATGTGTTTTGTTTCTTTTCTCTCTCTTCTGAGATTCTCTCATACCCAGGTTGGCCTTGAACTCACCTTGGAGCCCAACCTGGCCTCAAACTCTTACCTACCTATTTTAGTCTGCTGAGATTTGCAGGTATGCTCCAATGTGCAGGGCTTTGGTGTCATTAATGTTAGCCACGGTGCCCTCGTTTAAGGCCCTTGAAAGCTAGTGAACTTCCCACATCTGTTTTTGCTGTGGGAGCAAGAAGTCACTGTCGACAAGAGACTTGCCCTCTAGGTCCCTATCATCATGCTCACCCACACTCTCACGGCCCCTTGGAGCCACCTGCCATCCCTCCCCACATGATCTTCTTGACCAGGTTTGTGTTAAAAGATCCTCAGCATGCATTGTTTACAGGTACAGGAGCATCTTCTCTGGCCTCTACCTGGGGATGTGTCTGTGAACCATATACACAGAATCCACACGTGGGGTTGTTTTTCTGTGAACTCCTTGAGTTTGGAAGATGGGGGGGGTGGTGTTCCTGTGTATGTTGCATGTCTGTAAAAGCTCTTTGCACTGGAACAATAACCCTTTACAACTTGGCTTCCTCAACCTCCCTAGTGCTTCGAGTCTCTGGAATGCACGTCTTCTCTGTCTGCACTGCCTGAGTCACTCACACCTTCTTTGGGGTAGGGACAGCTGAGTGAACATGGGTGTCCACTCAGTGGAGGTCAGGAATTCTGAGGCACAAGAACCCATCTGTTCTAACTGTGGGAATGTGGAGGCTGGTTTTGTCCTTCTTGCAACTCCAGGTTCAAAAGTCCTCACTAGGTTTAGTGTCCAGGCTGCCGGGGTGGGTCCAGCCAAGTCCCAGTGAGTGCTTGAAAAGGGCATGCTTGGTGTCACCTCATCTGAACCCCTTCCCTGCTCTGCTTGCTTACACAGACAGCCAGTCAGACACAGACACATTGACCACCCCAGGGGAGGTGCTGGATCTCACAGCACGGGATAAAGAGCAGCCACCATCAGAGGGAGCAGTGGAGCTCAGCCCTGTCACACAGGACCTCACTGTCAAAGAGGCCAACGCCGCCGAGTTAGCCCCCCCTGAGACCGAGGAAGAAAAGAGTGAAGAAGGGAAGGCAGAGGAAGAGTGCAGCATGGAAGAGAACACTGGGGACGCAGATGCGCCGGAGGACGACACCGCCAGCAACCAGAGCCTGGATCTTGACTTTGCCAGCAAACTGATGGACTTCAAGCTGGCAGAGAGTGAGGCAGGCGCTGTGGACAGCCAAGGCACCGCCCAGCAGGACCAGAAGCATACCTGCAATACCTGTGGAAAGAACTTCAAGTTCCTGGGTACCCTAAGCCGCCACCGGAAGGCGCACGGCTGCCGGGAACCCAAGGAGGAGAAGGAGACGCCTTTGCTGGACGATGACAGTGCTGGCAGAGCAATGGAGGGGCCCTCACCTTCCCCCGAGCCTGAGGAGAAGCCTGCCGAATCTCCAGCAATAGACTCAGTGGAGAAACAGAGTGAGGAGACAGAGGGTCCCTCTGATGGGGAAGGTACAACCGAGAAGAGGGGTGACAGTGACAAGAGACCAAAGGCAGACTCCCCGAAAAGCATGGCCAGCAAGGCAGACAAGAGGAAGAAGGTTTGCAGCGTGTGCAACAAGCGCTTTTGGTCCCTGCAGGACCTCACCCGGCACATGAGATCACACACGGGTATGAGAGACCAAACTCAGCCTTCCAATACAGACCAGAGTCACTTAGTGTTGTCATCAAGAGTCTGACTGGAAGTCAGTCCCAGCAACCGTGAAAAAACTGGCTAGGTGGCAGGGTTGTCCTTTGATCTGGGGAAACTGGGGCTCTTCAGGAGCTGTTCCCGTGGCCCAAAGAGTGTGGCACAGGCCCTTGACAGGGCAGGAGAGTGGTCCCTCTGCAGTGGCACTTTTTGGAAAGCACTTTTCCTCAGCCTCCCAGCCCCACTCTTGTCCTCTATAGATAGGGAGGATGGCTGCCCTGTCCACAGGCTTCTAGATCATCCAGTGTAGTTCTCAGCCAAACCCTAAGAAGGACACAGGGATATGTGCCAGGAAAGTCAGGGGCTGCCCTGACCTATGTTGTGAAGACCCCCATGTGTTATCCATTAATAGGTGGGTGGGACTGTACTGTTCCTGACCTTGTAGCAACCAACCTGGTGGCACTGGGACACACTCCTTACTGGCTGCCACATGGGCACATCCTTGTTCCTTGTGGAGCTCGGCCTGCCACCTGCAGGGTTGGAGCTGCAGTGTTCAAATAAGGTCTTGTTATTTTAGCTTTAGCAGAAAGGGAGACCTCGATAGAACCATGAAGCCAAAAGTTAAAAAACAGCCTTCCTCCGCCATCCCTCCAAAGAGAGCACCCTTGTCCGGATCTCACTGCCATGGCCCCCTTTGCATAAGTGGTCTTGGCATAGCCAGCTGAGCCCTACACTCAGGTGTGCATGCTAGTACCTTCTGGCCAGAGATGTTGTCAGATGTGGCAACTTGGTATGTAAACTACCAGTCAGAGCCCAACTGGACCTCCTTGTGCCTTGATTGAGGGGGTTGTTGCTGGCCTTGTAGACCTTAAAATCATTGTATAGAAGACTTAGTTTGAGAGGAACAGGGGAAAGAATGTGACCCTAGACTTGCCAGTTTGGACAAGTAAAATGACTCTCCCTGAGTAGCAAGGTTTATTTAGTTTATTTAGTTCTGAATACTACATCTGTGTAGCGTGGGGAGCTGGGAACCAGTGGCCTTCATTCATGTTAATGGACATCTCCTTTTCTTTTTCCCATTGCTCAGGAGAAAGGCCATACAAGTGTCAGACCTGTGAGCGAACCTTCACCTTAAAGCACAGCCTAGTGCGACACCAGCGGATCCACCAGAAAGCCAGGCACAGCAAACACCATGGAAAAGACAGCGACAAGGACGATCGGGCTGAGGAGGACAGTGAGGATGGGTCCACCCATAGTGCTAACAACCCTGTCTCAGAGAATGAGGCCGACTCAGCTCCTAGCACCAGCAACCATGTGGCCATCACCAGGAGCCGGAAAGAGAACTCGGCCAATTCTGGGAAGGATTGTAGCCGGGAGGAGAAAGCTGAAGCAGAGCAACCAGCTGAGCCCAGCCACAACACCCCCAAGGAGCAGGTGCCTCCAGGTGAAACAGACCCCCAGAGCCCAGCGGCCCTTGTACAGGACTTGCTGGAGCTGTGCACCAAGAGGCCTGCCCCAATCCTGGCAGCCACCGACAGTGCCTCGCAGCTCGTGGGGATGGAATGACAGCTTGCCCTGTCCCCGTCCATCATCGCACAGACACAGCTAGCAGAGCCTCCCGATTATAGATTTCACAAGGTTTTCTCAGTGTCCTTCAGCTGTCTGGAAAGAGGAAAGAGGGCAAGACAGACAGGCAGTGCGGCCAACCAGCTCGTGCCATAGCCTTACCCAGTGCGCATGCACCCTGCCCCAGTGCCTTAACTACTTACGGGTCCTCCCATGTCATTGTGGGTGTGTCCCCGCCCCCAATGGCGTTTTAACAAAGATTTTAATGAATTGTTGGGAGACCTCTTCGTTTAAGCATTAACATTACCTTTTGTATTGGTGTGTTGGAGCTTGTTTTTGTGAACCTGTGATAGTACTGTTTGTTCTGTGAGCTGGAAACAGAAGAAGACAGCCTAGCCCTCGGATCCCCATAGCCAATAACTGGAAGAAAATGATGTGAATTTCCTGTCCATGACCAGAGGGAAGAGGGTAGGAGGCTGATTTCTAAGCTAGACCTTTTTTCTCTGGGTCACCTGGTGGAGGAGCCGTGAGCTGGTCTTTGTTGTTAGTGGATATGGTTGAGACAGAGTTCCAGTGCGGTGTGAGCCAAAGCCAGGAATGATTCTAGCTTCAACCTCACATGTCTCCACTCTCCATGTTAGAAATGGTTACTGTTCAAATTCTGAATTTACAGAGAATGACCTCCTCAACAGCGTAACCAATGGAGGACATGCCTGGATGTCATATATTGATTTTTTTTCCCTTCTCCCCATTTGGTATATTTTATTATTATTAATATTATTATTATTATTATTAGTTCATCAGTTTGCTGGGCTCTGCATTCAGCAGAAACAAATGGGCAATATTTGTCCTGGGAGACCTGTACTGCCGCCTGGTCCCCGCATAATGTGTGCCTGAAGCTTTTGTTGGCACACCAGTGAGATGGCTCTTCTACTGTATTCATACAAGCCTTTCTTCCATGACCAGAGAGGCCAGCAGGGGCCAGGAGTGGTCCTCCAAGCGTGGCTAAGGAGTGGATCAGAGGGGACAAGGATGCACGTGTGTTGGGGAACAGGCATCCGAGATACCAGGCCACACCTGGGGCACCTCAGAGATAGCTTGCAAGGCATCCCTGTCTTCCTGCTGAGCCGGGTCCAAGCCTTTCCCCATTTCCCCAGCTGTGCTACTGTCATTTGAAAAGCAATGAGATACTACTGCTGGTGATGAACTGAACTACGTGTGCAAGGTTTAGACCAGGGAGCTGTATTCCTGCACCTTCCTGCAGTTGTGGGGTTGCTGCTTGGAGAGAGCAGCGCTTTTGATTTCCTAACTGGCCAATCCCCTGGTGCACAAAGGCAGGGTTCCTTTTATCCCTGAGTGTCCTATACAGGCAGTAGATGTCCCTCAGCAGAAAGAAACCGCTCCTACTGTAGCTGACCACTGTTCAGCGCCCTGTCCTTTAGCGGAGACCCGAGGATGCCTGAGCCACACTGCTACTAGAGTTTCTGTGCTTGTCCCTAGCCTGCAGAGCCTTGGGACCTCCCTAGGGGGGTCTTCCTCTGCTTCACCTGTTCCCCTCACTCTGTGGCTTCATATGCTCCTCTGTCCCGGAGACACGCATACCCTTTTGTCCACCGGTTTCTAGTGGCTGATATCCAACCACCCTGACTTTAATGGAAGACAGCTATTCTAGAGATAATGAAAAGTGATATATTTGCATATAAAAGAAAAATGTTGAGGTATATATGATTTTTTTTTTAACTGTACTAGGGATGTATGAACCAGTTTAAAATTGAGATTTTATTTACAGTAGAGAAAGAAATCAGAACCAATGACCCCATGGTCTTCTAAGTTAAAGCCAGCTCCTGCATCCCTTAGTTTTTTATTATTATTACAACTGTTATTTTCATTGTTATTATTGGGGTTTCTTGTGTTTTGTTTTTCTTTGCAACTCTCCACACTAAACTTATGATCTTGTGGGGAGAAGCCATGACTGAACTCTACGCTGCAGTAAGATGTAGCAGGGATTGGCTCCCGGCAGCAGCCATAGCCAGGGCTGCAGCTCGCAATAATCACTATTGATTTAAAGCTTTATTTAGTCTGATCTGTTCCTTCATAGTCAATAAGGTCTTGCCACATTTTATTAGTGAGATTGAGAGATGTATTATTTGTTTGTTGTCCTGCCCGCCTTCCTCCCCACATATTAAACTGTGAAATTTGTGATTTGTTTAAACGCTGGGTGAATCATAGTTTAGTTTGCATGTCCAGCTAATTTGTTTCTATACATTTTGTTTGATTCTCTTTCTCCTCAGGGCTTTTACAAATATATATATATTATATATGTATATATATATATATGGATCGTCTGAAATTTTTGAGGTGCAAATTTTTTCTTGGTTTTTTTTTTTTTTGTTGTTGTTTTTGTTTTTGTTTTTCTCATTAATGGACACAATGCTGAGATTCAATCACTACATAAAATACCTGGCTGTGAAAACAAAACAAAAAGACCCCGTGGGGCTGTTTTCCAAGCAGCTCTGGGGAAGGTCGGTGAGTTGGATGCCGATTTCAAATAGATCATCCTACGTTCGTCTTTTTCCTCTTCTCTCTTTCCTCAAGAAGTTGATCCTGATGATTTCAGCCCATGCATTAAACAGGAAACAATAATAACTGTAGAATTCATATTTTTCTAAAGGGAACTTAAAAACTGCTGCTACATGTCATATACAAAACTGGTTTATGCCACATGAACAGAATCACAAGTTTGGTTTTGGTACTTTTTGTTTCTCTTTGTACTCAGTTGTATAGAACTTCCAAATTCAGAATGAAAATAAAGCTGTTCTGTATCAAACCATCTAAGCAATAAATGTTATATTTAAAAAATGGCACATGACCAGCTTGTGAGTTCCTCCAGTCCCATCTCCAAACCTGCTGCCCACTCAGGGCTGGTCTAAATGGTCAGGCACCAGGGAGCGGTCCAAGGTTAATTCCCAACTGGTGATCCCTGAGAAGCCTAGGTACCCAACCAGGCAGCATGTTTCAAAGGCAGCTGGGGCTGGGGGGATGGCACAGTCAGTAAAGCGCCTGACACACAAGAGTGGAGGGTCTGAGTTCAGAGCCCACGCAAAAGCTGTGAGTGGTGGCACACCTCTAACTCCAGCTTGGGGGGGGTGGCCATACAAACAAACAGATCCAGCCAGATTGGTGGTCTAGTGTTCAGAGAGGTCCTGCTTCAAATACGGTGGAGTGCTGGCAGGATGGCTCAGTGGGTAGAGGCACCCATAACCCTGACAGCCTGAGACCGGTCCTTAGGACCCACCTAAGAAAGACAAAGGACTGTCGGACAAAAGGACAAACTGGAGCAAAATACACATGAGATGAATAAACTTTCATCAATAAAAGGCAGTTGGGGCTGGAGAGAACTCAGGAGTTAAGAGCACTAGCTGCTCTTCCAGAAATCCTGAGTTCAATTCCTGGCAACCACATGGTGGCTCACAGCCATCTGTAGTGAGAACTGGTGCCCTTAAAGTGTGCAGGCACACATGCAGGCAGAACACTATATAAATCTTCAAAAACAAAAATTAAAAAAAGCTGCAGTTAAGAGTTTCTGTCTTGGTAATGCAGATGGGGTGGGTATGTCAGCAGCTGGGGTGAAATTTTGTGATGAGGCCAGAAAGAGACTTGAGGGGTGGCAGCAGAGACAGCTGGGGTGGCCCACACAACCAAATCTGTTTCCTGTGTGCTAGTGACTAATAAGGAGAATGTCTGGCCTTTTCTTCACTAACTCGGTTGTAAAGGGTCAAGTTGGTATGGAGTAGAGCAGTGTTTCTCAACCTGTGGCTCTCGGGTCACCGAAGCAGTAAACATACTTACACTATGGTTTATAACAGTTGCAAAATTATGGTTATGAAACAGCAATGGAAAAATTTCATGGTTGGGGGGTCAGCATAGCATGAGCTGCATTAAAGGGTAGCAGCATTGGGAAGGCTGAGCATTCTGGAAAGCTGAAATCTCAGTGTTGCAGATTTTAGTGAGAACCCAGCAATGGGGGCAGCAGAACCAGGGCTTGGAGACAGCTGATCAAACCCATGTGTGGGGGCACCTGTCATCGTGCAGGGCCCTGTACCCCTCACTGGGGAGTAGCCCTCAAAAGGCAACCCTAGAAGAAGCTGGCCTGTGGGGAGACTAATTACAGGTTATGATATGAAGTCATTGACAGTCCTAAGTGCCAGGAGGAACGGGCTCCCTCAGCCTGCTCAGGCTCCTCTGTTGGCCCCAACAACTGGCTTTGATGAGATACCAACAAGTATCCTAACATGTCCCACGGGGCTAGACAGATGGCTCAGTGATTAAAATTCTGGTGTGGGGGGGAAGGACTGGAGAGATGGTTCAGTAGTTAAGAACACTAGCTGGTCTTCCAGAGGTCCTGAGTTCAATTCCTAGCAACTGCATGTTGGCTCACAACCATCTGTAATGAGATGTGGTGCATCCTTCTGGCCAGCCAGCAGGGATACATGCAGACAGAACGCTGTATACATAATAAATAAATCTTTAAAAGAAAATTTCTGGTAATGGTCCAAAACAAGCAGCTCACCAGCACAGCCTCCAACCTCTCCAGCTGGGTGGAAGGGCACTGCCAACCACTGGTGATGGGTAGGACACCAGTGTGTGTGGTCTTAGGGCCCGGATACACTGGACTGCAGCTCGTATTCCATTTGTTCTCTGTAGTGACAAATACCATGACCAAAAGCAACTTGGGGAGGACAGGGTTTATTTCATCTAGAGCTCTTAGGTCACAGTCCATTATGAAGGAAGTCAGAGCAAGAAGTGGAGACTAGAAGATACTCTTTGCTGCCTTGCTTTCCTGGTTTGTTCAGCTGGCCCCTCCTCCTCCCCCTCTCCTGTTACAGGGTGGTTTCTCTATTGCTTTGGGGGCTGTCCTGGAACTTGCTCTGTAGACCAGGCTGGCCTCAAACTCACAGAGTTCCGCCTGCCTCTGCCTCCTGCGTGCTGGGATTAAAGGCGTGCACCACCAACGCCTGGCTTCAGACTGCTTTCTCATACACCCTGGACCACCTGCCCAGGGATGGCACCGCCCACAGTGGGCTGAACTATCTTACATCAATCACATTAATCAAGAAAATGCCCTAACTCATCTTCAAGCCTTGGGGGGGGGAGGGCAAGGATGGGGACCGGGGTAGGGACGGGGGCAGGGGCAGGCCAGGGACAGGTCTACATAGAGACCCTGTCTCAACACTAACAAGAAAGGAAGGGAGAACCGACTGCACTGAGCACCAGGGGGGCCTTTGAGTTGTTCATTCCTCCCCCAGGATCCAGTTAGCCTTGACTGAGCACTTACATAAAGTGTTTCCCCCTGGCAGCCACTGCCAGAGGACACAGACTGGGATACTGAGAGAAACACATAGAAGAAACCTGATGTCTTGGCAATTTAAGTTCTAACAGGGAAACTGACAGTAAAGGAAGTAGATGAGGAAGATAAAGATGTGAGTTCAAGGGGAAAAAGGAACCAGGATGGGACGGGAGAGCCAGCCCTGAGGAAGTCGCCCACACAGATGTCTGCAGAGGGAACAGAGGAAGGGAGGGAGGGAGGAAGGGAGGGAGGGAGAGAAGGAGGAAGGAAGGAAGGAAGGAAGGAAGGAAGGAAGGAAGGAAGGAAGGAAGGAAGGCCTTCAGGCCACAAGCCCTGCAGGAAGCCGGTGAGACAGGTAGAATGAACACGGTGTGAAGCTTATAGTAGACTGGTAGGTCTGTGGGATTCTGGTTTCATGTTGATACTGGGGTGACGAGGATGAACACAGGGAGACCACTAAAATGAGATCACAGTAGTGCCTTCTTATAGGACTCTGAGAAGAGGCAGGATTTGTTTGTTTTTATGACAGGATCTCTCTGTGTGGCCCTGGCTGGCCTGGAACTCACTCTGTAGACCAGGCTGGCCTCAAACTCACAGAGATCTGCCTGTCTATGCCTCCTGAGCCCTGGGATCAAAGGCATGCTCAGCCACACCTGGCTGAGACAGAGCTGAGGACTTCAGGATTATCTCCAAGACTAGATGATAAACCAGATCCAGTGTGAGTGCTACAGGGCAGTTGAGGACAGGCACACTTAGCTATCTCTGGCTTGCTCTGGAGACCAGGAGTTAGCTTTGAAGAGAGGTCCCCCTCCTGACAAATGATCTTGGCAGAAAAATGCATTGCACCTAAGAGCCCGTTTCCAGGGATATGGGAGATTTGTCTTTCTTCTGGGCTCCCCAGCCACCTGCCCACAGGGACCCTTGGGTCTAGCCCACACCTGCTTGCCCATCTTTTTCCCTATATCCATACTACTGCCAGGTCAGCTGCCCACCTGTCCTGAAGAACACAAACTGACATAGATTCCAGAAACCCCGGATGGTGACCAACTAGTGAGGCTGTTCCCTGAAGACATAATGAGACAGGAAGTACAGGAAAGTCTTGGGGATATCCTGAACAGAAGAGAAAGCCTTAGATCTGAGATCCAGACTTCAGCCCTGGGTGGTTCAAAGCCTGAGCAAGATATCTTTTCAACAGTGACCAAAAGCAATAGGGAAGAAAGGTCTTATTTGGCTTTTACCTCCAAACCGCAGTTCATGCCTAGAGGGAAGTCAGAGCAGGAGCCCAGGCAGGAGCTTGGAGAAGAAAAGAAGGTATGCTGCTTTCTGCCTTGCTCTAAAAGTCATGCTTAGGGAGCTTTCTTGGTCAACCCAGGACCGCCTGCCAAGGGAATGATACCACCCACAGTGGGCTGGGTTTTCCTATATCAGTGATCAGTCAAGACAAGTCCCCCCCCCCCCCACACACACACACACAGGTCAGTCCAATCAGGGCAATCCTTCGTTTGAAACCTCCATTCCTTTCTCAGGTGACTCTAGACTGTGTAAAGTCAACAGTTAAATCTAATGAGTACAGTGACCGTGGATGATCTGCTAGATGCCTGTGACCACCCAAAGACCCTACCTTCACTTTGATGGCCATTACCCAGGACATGGGTGAGTTTACAAAAGAAGCCAGCCATGAGCACCAAATCCAACATAGTAACTGTCTGTGCTGATCACCCACGCTCAGCCCTCAGTAATCTTGAAATTAGAGTAGTGGCACATGCCTTTCATCTCAGCACAAACTGAGTTCCCTCACAAAAACAACAACAACAAAAGTTGTTAGTCCCTGATGTGATAAGAACTGTTCTAATCAATGGTAGGCCAGTGTCTCACCTCGACTTGCTGAGTTTCAAGGACCATGCTTGTGTGAGGGAGCCCTCTGAGGTTAGCAGCTTTTAAGAAGAGGTCCATTTGGGTGTATGGTTCCAGAGCCATTGGTCCATAGTTGCTTAGCCCTTGTCCTAGTTTGCTTTCTGTTGCTGTGATAAACACCATGACTGAAAACAACGTGGGGAAGGAAAGGGTTAATTTCATCTCACAGAGAAGCCAGGAACTGAGTAGAAACCATGAAGGGGTGGGTACTACTGTGGTGGCTTGAAAGAAAATGCCCCCCAAAGGGAGCAGCACTATTAGGAGGTGTGGCTTTGTTGGAGTAGGTGTGGTCTTGTTGCAGGAAGTGTGTCCTTGTAGAGGCTGGCTTTGAGGTCTCCCTTCCTCAAGCTTTGCTCATTTTCCTGTTGCCTGCAAGATGTAGGGCTCTCAGCTACTTCTCCAGCACCATGTCTGCCTGCACACTGCCATGTCCCACCATGATGACAATGGACTGAACCTCTGAAATTGTAAGCTGCCACCTCAGTTAAATATTTTCTCTTGGAAGAAACCCCAACTAAGACAGCTACTGACTAGCTTGCTTTCAGACTCAAGTTCACCCACCCTCCTGACACAGCTCGGGAACTACCTGGCTTGGGATAGT